CTCAAGTCCGGAAGTTGAGTCATGATATCCCACCCAATAATCAAGTCTTTATTGGGAAGACTAGATCCAAGAATTCTGGTGGTAATGGAACACTGAGGGAAAAACTGAATAGACACAGGTGTGGTGCGAATATTTGTAGAAAAAGTGTCTCCTGAAGCAAAGTTGAAATACCGAACACAGGAAGTCTAGTATTCTTCAGGAAGAACTTTAGTGTCTAAGATTGAAGCACTAGCACCAGTATCTATGAGGGCAATGACTGAAATTGGTTTGGCAAACTTTGAGAGATAGATTTTGACTGGGAAGTGGGGACAGTGAAGTTGACTGGAATGTATACTAGGGTCCAGATTTTCAAGCTGTGATGATAGATGGAAAAGTTCTTCAGGTTCTGAATCAGAGTCTGTTTCACTGGGGGTGAGATAATAAGGAATGATGCAAAGTGTTTGGTCAATGGGATTTTCATCGACAGAGAACAGGGATTCGATATCGTCATTGTCAAGAGAGATTCCTGTCTCTAGTTCAATATTATGAATGAGATGATTCTGACCTTTTTTTGTCTGAGGACAATTTTTGGCAAAGTGGCCTTTCTTGTTGCAAATGAAGCAACGATTGGGTTTCTTGCATCCTGTGAAGTTTCTTCATTTCCGCAGGAATCGCCATTTCTTCCTTCTTCTGAAGTGCTTAGATCTTTTCACTCGATACTTCTTGAAGTGCTTGTTTTTCTTTGAATATTCTCCGCAGGAACCGTCACAATCTTTCTTTGAACATTTGATCTTCAAATATTGTTTGGAGCAAGCACCATCAAGTTCACAATTGTCTCTGATGTAGTTTTTCATCATCTGTCTTCGAAGGCAAAGTTCATCAAGACAAAGATGAATTTCTTGTTGTAGTTCTCCAAAGGGGATATCAACAAGTCTTCTTTGCTTGTTGAGAAAATATCTCTCAACTTGTTGGGAGAGTTCTTTAGGAATGGAAGCTAAGAAGACTTGTTTCAAATTCGGATCAACTCCTAGGCCATAAAAGTGTTTAAGCATTTCTCTGTAATGGCGATCTAGGTGCCTTTTTTGGAGAGAACAACATTTTCTTTCAAAGTATTCTCTTCTTTTGAGTTCAAGAAGATCAGCAGGTTTTCCTATGAAATATAGGTAAATGATTCCAATGGCTTGGGAAAAGTCTTGAAGAAGAAGAAAAGTCATTTGATCTGTTTCAGAAGTGGATTGCCACCAGTGTTTAAGGCTTCCAGTAAACCTTATAGCAAACTCTAAAAGAACATCATATTTGCGTTCAACAACAAGAGCTCTGGTGTTCAACCAAGCATGGAATTCATCCAATTTTCTGGCCATTTGGAATAAGGAGTGTCATCAAGAGTGAAAAACTATTTGGATGAGGAAACAGAAATATGAGAGGGGTTATTAATTTGAATAACCTCTGGTTCAGATGGATTTGGTTCCATGTCTTGTTCTGGCGGATTAGCCATGAAAATTGGAGGAGTAGTAGGTGGTACGTGGAAAGATTCAATGGAAGGAATTGGAAAAGTAGACGAAGAGGAAGAGGATGAAGAGTCAGATTTCGAATCTGAATTTAGCAAATTTGATACCTTTGCTACTTGAGAAGTGCACTCTGGTAGATGTTGGTCTGAATCAGCTTTTGAATTTTGTTGTTGATCTTTGCTTAAATCCCTCAGAAAGGATTCCAAAGGATTTGCGATCATCATCTGCTGGTCAGAACTCTTTTCAGGTTCTCCAGAGGACTCAGCAACACGTTTTGCTTTTTCTTTCATTCTTTCCTTTCGGAGCTTTTCCATTTCCCGAATGCGATTGCGCATCTCTGTCATATCACTTCTATCTCGTTGGGTAGAAGTTTCGGCTGCAAGAGCAGCTGCAGCAAAAACTGGGGAGTTTTGCGATAGTGGAAGAGAGTATCCGATTCTTGAAATAGAGAAAACATCAGTAGGCTTAAATTTTCCTTCTTCAAGGAGACTGATTTGCCTTTTGAGTTTCTCTATATCATTTTTCGGACTTTCAAGATAATGGTAGCCAAGATGCTGGCCTGATTCCAGAGCATGAAGTCTTTTCTGGAAATCCACAAGCATCTTTTTTATGGACTCATCGTATCTTCGGATATCTTGTTGCACATCAACAATTTTGGAGTCAAGCGTCTTGAAAGCCTAATTTTGTGCCAGAAGAGTTTCCGATTGCCAATTTAGAACAGCCTCAGCAGCAGGCGTTCTTTTTGGCCTTCCACGTTCATCAACATCAGTGGGAGAAGGAATTTTTGGAGCATGAAGGTATCGTCGCTGTGGGTCAGTAAATTCCTCAGTAGCAGGAAAAGAAAGCTGAGAACTTTCAACATAATTTAAAGGAGGGAAGCCAGCTTCATTGAACATGGAGATAGATGGAAGTTGCCCGGTGGTTGGTTACAACTAAGTACATTATTGGGGATTTCATGCCAAAATGGTTTTGAATACTTTAACGAGCTTTGCCTGTTTTGAGCAGCATTTTACATGCTGTAGTGACGCAATAAGCACGAAAAAGGTAGAAAATTTAGAGGAGCATGATGTGGAGACACGATTGAGGTATAGAATGGGGTGGGTGACTCCGGATCTTTGCGGCCCATGTAGCAACCTGTTTCGTCGGAAATGTTCTCGCGACGAAATATAATTTATCAAAAGTCATTCTTCGATTGTTAATTAGAGGAGACTGGGTTCTTTGACCATTTCCGGATAGGAGATATCTAGGCGTGAACTAACAGTTTGATTGTCTTGATCAACAACACAAGTTTCGTACAGTAACGAAATTCGACTTATATTTATAAACGATTCAGACAAATCCGTCCAGTTGCTGACTGGCGGTATCCGAATTTCATCGATGCAACATTACAAGGCTACTGGCTTAGAGAGTAAACAACTATAGCTATGAAAACTAAAGGTGCGGTACTAGAAAATAAAGATTTTTTTTTTTGTCGATAAAAGTCATCAAAATGATGTCTATTCGCGGGAGGCTTTTTTCTGGCTGTCGGGTACTATTTATAATGTGAGCCTGATAACCACCTTCTGAGACCATGTCCAATAACCACCGTTGATCTCATCTTCACCGTTCATCTAATGACATATGTCCATTAATTGCCACCGATCTTATCTTTTTGTTGTGACACCTGTCCTTCCCGAGGCAATAACCATTGTTGAGCTCTTTCCGTCTTGACACCTATCCTTTTCGAGACAATAATCGTCGTCGAGCTCTTTCCATCTTGACACCTGTCCTTCCCGAGAAAATAACCGTCGTCGTGCTCTTTCCGTCTTGACATCTGTTCTTCCCAAGGTAATAACCGTCGTCGAGTTCTTTTCATCTTAACACCTGTCCTCCACGAGGTAATAACCGTCATCGAGCTCTTTACATCTTGACACTTGTCCTTCCCGAGTTAATAACCGTCTTTGAGCTCTTTACATCTTGACACTTGCCTTCCCTAAGGTAATAACCAGCATCGAGCTCTTTACATCTTGACACCTATCCTTTCCGAGGCAATAACTGTCGTCAAGCTCTTTACATCTTGACACCTGTTCTTCCTCCTTTTCTCGTCGACAGCTTCGGTGACTTGAGTTCCATATGGTAACTTTCATCGATGGCTTTTGGTACGAGATCTCAAGTGACGCTTGCTTCCTCTACGATTCCAGTTTTCCAATTTCAAATTTTTAAATTTCCTGCCAGGATATTTCAATGCTTGCCAACTGTTTGCTTACATGGGCAATTCTCTATGGACTACGTCATCTCTTGACGTCCTTTACGAGTTTATTTCCATTTATTTTTGTTGTCGACAACCTAATTAATTATAGGTGTCAACACAACCTCACTGCAATTAGGTATACAATGCTCTCGGCTAAATCTACTTGTGAGAGAGAGAATACCACCATTAGGGGGGCACTGATCATTTCTTCCCATAATAAATTCAAGCATGATATAGCACTGAAAACGAACTTTCGAAGGCAAGGCATAGAAAAAGTGACATTAATGGAACCTGAGATATGCCGTACTATGGACATGTCCTGCTCCAAGTTCATACGTTCAGGAATATATAACATTAGATGGTTCTCCCTCCTTCCACATTGTTCTTGAGAGAGAGTTGGAACTACTATTCCGCTTCACTTTTCATTTTCGTCAGATTTGCTGTGTTTATTATTTGGAGGCATAAAATTGATTCACAAAACCAATTTGGAGCATACTGAGATTTGAGTAATTGATAGCTTAGGATAGGCCAAAACCATGTGAAAAGTCATGCTAAATGTAGGCTAACTTTTTACATTGGAACTGAGTCAACACGCGACCGTGAATTCGGATCGGCTAATTGGAAACGTGGTTATAGACACGGAAGGGAAGCATCAACTGACAAAAAACCACATTATTATTCAAATAGTACATTAACAAGCTCTTCCTACTTATTGTTTCAACTGTTATAAATCAAAATGTTAAAAACAACGATGCTGCCTATTTCACTACACGAGATAGACCTTACAGATGTGACACTAAATGTATAATGGCATTCCGGCAACAAATCCAATACCGTGAGCTTTAGGAGTCTCATTCCCACTTCTTAGCTGACACCTAGGCTTTCTGATGTTGACCGGGACTGCTCGTTGGAACCGTAATTGACAGTGTCACCTGCATGTTTTCAACCGATCATGTGTATAAGCTCAACAAAAGCTCAGCGGATTTTGTAGGCGACTTCTGAGCTAAAAATCCAATTCTTTTGAGTTGTTTCATTTCGATTTATATTTACTTGCTAATGCAAATATCTACCGAAAAACATTGGATGCGTTATGCCAATCATAATATCCCAAAAGAAACCACTCTTAGATGGGTCCTCAGCACTTCAAAATGTAACAGGGGGCACTGATAATGCGCCATCAGCCTAGATGCAAAATCTACTAACCAGCAAGACCTTTCCCCAGCCTCTCTAATTTCAGGAAGAACAATCATGACAGCAAAATCAGATGAGAGAAGCAATGTCACTGTCGGACCAAGAGGTTGTGCCACCACTCTTTCCAGATGTCAAGTAGCTAGAGTTTTGCAAAAACAAAAGAGTGAAAATGGGGCAACACTAAGGTGGTTGTCCATGAAAAGATTAGCATATCCTTCTCCCTTGCTAGAACCTCCTTGACACTGAACTAAGAGGAACAACCCATTAACAAAATTTGGATAACAGAAAAAGAATACTTGAAAATGTTCAATAGAAGCATATGATCCCAAAGTTGAAGCTTTGTTCACTCCCAATTCTCGCCAGCTGCTGTCTTAATTTTGTATTGCACATTTTCTTTCCATTCTTATTATAACAAGCATACTCTCTAACAGCGAATTAGTTGTGCACCCTGCTGAATAAACAAAGTGGGTATACATAAAAGTTTTGATGGAAAAATTTACATGATGGAGAATATTTTACTCTTTCTTTACCTGAATCCGTTGTATAAATAGCAATTTCATTCTCCAGCATCATTATCATATAAGCTGTGCTTTTTTCAGGTCAGATACAACTCCATGATCTTCACTGCTCCTCTCATTGTATAGCACCTGTCAGGTAACCATACTAAGCACACCATGAAAGAAAGCACAATCAAGTAGACGACATAGTGGCATACCTTATCTATGATACCATACTCAACCGCTTCACTAGGACTAAAATATTTAGGTCGTCGGATGTCAGCTTCGATTTGCTCTGGTGTTTTCCCGATATGCTTCGCATAGAGTTTAACCTTCACAAATTGTTAATAGGAAGTAGTTACCACTTCAGTGTCTTGAAGATGCATCACAAGACTCAAAAACTAAATTCTTCTGTTTGCTTGATTCACTTTGTTCATTCCTTTATATGTACATAGTTGCCAATTTCTACAAGATAGCGGTACTACCCTGCGGATAGTAATTAAAACAGGCTCTCCAATCTGTATTGGAATTGGAAGTCATTGAGAACATCATTCCAATAAAATGACCCAACAAGAACAACACTAAACACACTTGTATAACCCTGCGAAGAACCGACACTCTACTAGTACCACATTTCAGTTAACATGATGAAGCAAAGAGGCAAACCTAAAGAGCCAGGATGACAAAGAAATGAGTAACAATATTCTCTTGATCTGTAAAGTTTTCAATTTGTTAAACAAACACTGGAAGATTTTCTCTGGAGCTTTGCAGATCATTTTCTATTTAGTAACTTTGGAACTAACTTGAACTTTGGACTTAATGTGGCACGAAGTAGGTGGTCTACGATATTCTATAAGTAGAAGAACTTCAGACAGAAGTAACATGACCTCTACTTATCCACTAGATAAAGCAAAAGTTCATCACTTTCTGGTAATAAATAGGCTGCTATTATTTAAGATGAGTAAACTATATGCTTTAGTTGTGGGCTCACATAGAGGGCAGAGCTCATCAGCAAGCAGTAATCAACTACCATTGAGCAGCAAGCCAGTTCAATCAATTTAAGCACTCCTTTAATTTCTTTATAGTAGTAGTCTTGACTTTGCAGGACATCACCTAAGGTTGAGGGGGTAAATCCAGTCCAAAGGACCTCTTGCTTTGATTAACTTAAAACTGATGGACATGAAAGCTTCAAAGAGCAAATGGCCCTGATTTGCTTTGCTTATGTGAGCTCGTCTCACTCCAATTTTTTATTCAAGTGCCTTGGTTAGATCATGTCATCCACCAGAATAGTAATCTCAAGCCTATAGAAGACAAATTTCCCACAAATATCTCAAACCAACACAGTGATTTATCTTACCAACTCTGCCTTGACATTCTTCACTTCTTTCCTGGCAAGATCGATATCTGTTGCCTGACCTTGAAATCTTGCAATTGGCTAGCAATTCACAGACAGAAGACACACAAGAATTATTAGAATTCAGGCAAGCTGCCTAAGCTAATCCCTGACAGGGTGTAGACTTTGAAAAGGCTACGAATTAAAAGGTATAAATAACTTAGGAACTTCAAAGGTGCAGGAAAAACCTGCTTCATCATGATTGTCGAAGATGGCAAAGCAGAACGGTTCCCCTGTGCACCAGCTGCTAAAAGTAAGGCAGCTTCTCCCCATGCATTACCAACACACAGAGTAAAAATCGGTGGCTTGACATACCTGCGATGGATAACCACTATCTCATGAAAGAATAACACAGCGATGACATTTGGAGAGCAGATTGTGGAACATAGAGAGCTGCGAGCTTAAGCTAATAAGATATTTGCATATATAGGGAACAATTCCCATCGAATGCCTACATCCATAAGATTATAGAAATTTATTTTGCATCAAATAATTAAGATGATGAATATAATTTATACCTACAAAAGCGTTTTTTAATCTGATAGGCTTCCACATAAATGAAAAGTCCAAAGCAGCACCACTAAATTTTTTATAAATGCCAGTGGTTGAATAAATTTACATCAAGAAAACTAGCAAAAGCCTAATAACTTATCCTTGTTAACAATATCAGAAACTTAGAAATTCAAGAAATGAAGCCAAAATTGAAAAAAATGTTTACCTCATGACATCATAAATAGCAAAAGCCTCGGTCTCATAACCCAGCTTCTCACCACCCTGGAAAAGGCAATAAGTTTCATTAGATGCAGAATTATTATAAAGAAAGGAAAAGAAGTATAGATATATATTTTCATTCTAAATGAAAAGGGATGGTACAAGAGTCAAGGACCTTCTAATAACCAGGGTATATAGAAAGAAATCCACAAAAAAATTGATTCCTTGAGAAGGGAGAAATCTAGCAGTTGCAAAAGTCATGCATAGCTCCTTTTTTTGATACTAGTACATTAATCACGGCAAGTATAAGCATGGCAGCCATATTTCCTTCTTGTCCACATGAAGAGCTACCGCTTCATATAAATTATTGAAGTTAACTCCTTTAGAAACTCCAGGAGAGGATTTCAGGATTAAAATATTATGTACATCAAGCATCTAATTGTTTGAGAGAAGACACAACCCATACAAACTTAACAAGATAAAGTATATTTGACCTTTGTCGTGCCAGTGGAGTTTATGTACAGGTAGATAGGCTTTTCGGCATCTTCATATTGAAGATAAAGAAATTCTGCAAGTATCAACTCTGTCACAGAGGGAACAAGAGACATGCCCAAATAAACTATCCGGTTCTTGTACAGGTAAGATGCCAAGTCTGGAGGAGGTTGCTCCCACGCACTTCCCCTGGAGAAAGGAATAACCTGAACACAAATGAGGAATAAACAACTAAAATGTCCTTCATGGAGTAAGAGATAGGAATGAAAGGACAAGCATCTAAAGTTAAACACCAACAAGCCATCAGCAAGCCCATATCACACTAATTGGGATACATAGAGTTAAACACTGAAATTTTAAATTACATCAAACATGTGGAAAATGGTCAGCCTCTTTAAATGAAATCTGTAATCCAATAGAACATCCCTTCGAAAGACAAAAAACAAAATATCTTGCACCAGGAGGAACATTGTTACATAACCTTGTGTACACTGATAACTCAGGGCACACTTTCTTAACCTCAAAGGCAATGAATAACGCAAGCAACTTACATTGAGATGGTACAATCTTATTGCCCACCCAAAGATTAGATAGAGAAAATTTCACTATCACAAGTCAGTGACTCTTAAGAGAAGAACTAAAACGTCTATGTAGTAATAACTTGGAGTTCTTGAATCTAACCCTAGCCCACATTCAGAGCCCAAGATGCGGCGATGATCGATTTCCTATGACAGAAGTTATTATGCAATTTTTAATCTGCACAACCTATATTAAACCATAAGATCACTAAAGGAACTATTTTTATAATCCGCAGAAGCCATTCTGACCAAAATTAACTAGAAAAATATCATCTTTCACTTTACTAAATAACTTCCTGGAGCGCATTAAAAGATCAGCAGAACTCACATTTCACAACTACGCACAGAAACAAAGCTTTTATCTCCTAAACTTTCACAATCGAGCCGGAGCAGAAACGTCAAATAAGCATCTAAACGAATCTCGCGGCACTATCTGAAAAACAATCATCCAATCGAAGACGCAAATGCGTGTTGGAGGAGTACCATGGTGACGATGCCCCGTTTTCCTTTGGACCTGGAAACGGAAGCCGGAGAGAGGGACTTGGGCCGGATTTTGACGCCGGAGAACTCGCCGGAGACGCTGCCGCCAGCAGCGGCGGAGGAGGAGGGGACGAAGCCGGTGGAGAGAGAAACTCTGGCGGGAGAAATCGAGGCCTTACAGGTTCTTAACGAAGTGGAGGAAGCCGTCGGCGCTACCATTCGCCGGTGGAGCGCGAAGCTCGAAGATGCGGTGGCTACTTCCATTGCAGAGCGCTTTTCTTCCGAAGTGACAACGCCCGAGAGAGAGAGAGAGAGAGAGAGAGAGAGGGAGAAGATATGGGCGATTCGGAGCCCCGAAGTCCGCTATTCGGGTCATGATTCGACCCGAATCGGATGGGTTTTGGGCCGGGTAAGGCCTTTTAGTAGGAGATAGCGAGGGAGAACGAGGCCCACCAATTTTCTTCGTGGGATTCTTTGAAATCAATTAATTATCTTTTCTTCTCATTTGGGGGTTAAATTGATTTTTCAAGAGGCTTTTTAAAATTTCTGGAAAAGAACCTGTTAATGCAATTCTTCATTTTTTCCCACTGATTGAACTATGTTAAGGCAAAGTAACTTGATTGCTAGATAAAAGGGTTAATATCATGAAAAGCTACAAATTAGTACACATGTGATAAATTTACCCCAAATTAATTTTCTGATCACCAAAAACGTCAAACTGGTATAAATGTGACAGTTGACTCTCTGTTAGTTTTCGCTAAATTTTACGGTCAAATTGCTAAGCTAGATGACACGTGACAATTAACGGGTGTACCAATTTGGGGTTTTACCCTTCGTTTGTTATAGGCGTATCGATTTGTGGTTTTTTCGTTATATTAATCAAATTTAACGGAAATTAATAGATGATAAACTTGTCGCAAGTGTACCAGTTTGGAATTTTTTGTGGTTAAAAAATTAGTTTTGAGTATATTTGTCACCGGTATATCATTTTGAGGTTTTTCGTGGTATTAACCCTAAATAAAATGCATAATTGATAGATTACTCTACCACAACGAAAAGACACTCAAAAGCAACACATCAATTACTTATCTTTTGCCGTAGTAATTAGCCCTTTATTTCATCACCCGAAAAGAGCACGCGAAATCGATAAACACGAAAGAGCCGTGACCTATTCAAACGACTCGGTCCAATAATAACATTTGATATGCAACAAATGCCAAGTATGACCAAGCAATGTAGTTTGCCAAAACTAAAAAAAAAAAGTGACATGTACATTTCACCAAAACCGAGAAGAGACCACAATATCAGCTTGCTTGAGTTCTTGAGTAAATGATTATGTACACTCCTACACGTGAGCCCGCTCCATTCCAAGCTAGCTTACAAAAACCACAGTGGAAGAGCATCGTTCAACGAGAGGCTGAGGATTGGCTCGCGGCTCACAAACTCATCGCACACTTCCCATACCAGTGTGCTCTCTCACTCTTCCCCTTCTCATGCTCTGCCTCTCTCGTCATTCGCGAGAACCATAAGGAAAACAGCAGCCACCGGAAGAAGAGCAACACCCAGATGTCCATTTCCATGGCCTTGTTCTCTCCCCCGGCGCCCAACCTCAGGACCCTCTCCCCTCGCTCCCTCTCCAAACCCCGCCTCACCCACAAACCCTCTCTCTTTCTCGGGCCCAAAAGAGCCACCTTTATCACCATTCATGCTTCCTCCGATAATGGGTCTGGGGCTGTCCCGTCGTCGGCTGTGGCTGTGGAGGAGGAGCCCAAGGTGGCCGTGGAGCAGGTGAAGGAGCCGGAGAGAGAGAAGGAAGGTGCTGGGTCTAATGGGTCTGTGTCCTCTGCTTCTGGCGAGGAAGCCGTGGTAATCACCAAATTCAAGGATTCAAGATGGGTTAGTGGGACTTGGGACTTGAAGCAGTTTCAGAAAGATGGTGCGACTGATTGGGATGCTGTCATTGATGCTGGTGAGTTGATCGATCCTTTTTTTTTTGTGGCTGTATCTGCTTTGATTTATCTGGTTTGAGCGTGTCTGCTCTTCAGTTTTCCATATGATTATGCTGAGTCTGTCGAGTTGGTGTCTGGAGTATTTTGAGCGAGTGGACCCACTAGTTCAATTAGCTCAAAAGGTTTGTGTTACTTGGAGGGAGTGAAATGTGGTTAAGTTGAGTTAGTGATTGAGCAAGTGGGTTGGTTTTTAAGGTTAATGCTTAGTCTCAAGAAGTAAGTGATAACTCAGATATGCATGGTGCCTCTCTATGAAGTTTGTTTAGAGGAATTATAAATCAAATTATATGCCGCCCCCGAAATTTGTCGCTGTTGATTCTGATTCTTCTTCTTTTCTGTTTTGTTTACAGCACTGGAATGTTGCTTTATTATTCTATTTCATGAGCTTGAGATTTTAGGGGAAAAAATGGCTTTGCCATTCTAAGTTGCAGCTGTAGGAAATGGTGGTCTTGAAATTCAGTGATGCTAGACTTTGTTCTTCAAATTTATGACTGTCAATTAACGGCGGTTACCTCTTTCTGTGTAATAAGTTTTTTATGTTATCTTGAAGTTTATGAAATAGCAAAGCAGGCTAAAGTTGAAGGCTTCGTATTTGCTAATCCAGGACATTTTGAATCATGAGAGCTTTAACTCTTCCCTGATTAGTGGCAGATAATGTGAACTTTGCACATTCTAATGGGTGCTTTTTTATCATACTCTTGTTAACGTGGCCCATGGAAACATTGCTACATCATATTTCTTGCTAGAGCCCCTATTTTAATAGAGTAACAGCGTGGACAATGCTCAGCATCTTTATCTTCCTTTGAGACTGTAGAAACTTTCTTATTTGCCGATGCACTTAGATATGGGTTGAGGAACTAGTCAATTACTCATGTCAAAGAGAGAACAAACTTGTTCCAACTGCAGTTCATTATGAAAAACTAGCCAGCGTGTTTTATTCAGTATTATGAACAAAGATTACTGGCAAGGACGCACACTTGTGGTATCCACGAGGATTATCTTCCAAAAAATACCTTAAACCACAAAACTTTGTTCCTCGGCAATTAATGTAGTAGCTCTTTTGTAATCCCTCAGGTTAAGATGGAGGCCAAAAGAGACCACCGTCTGCACTGTTTTTTGTGGTGACTGGTCATGGAGGCAAGCTAGAGCTTCCTGTCTATTAAACAAGCTTTGTTCCGTATGATTCCCCAGTACAGTAGACTTGTTATTTTGACCTAGCACTTCAGTGCTCCATGGAGATGAAGCTGTTTCACGCATCGTACTTGTCATTTCTATTCGCTAGGACTCTGTGATGTTCGGTGCCCATCTGACCAAGCTTTGTAGAATATATCACTTAATCCAGTTGTTCATAGTTATTTTCTGAATGGTTGTTGTGTATACTTTCAGAGGTTAGGAGGAGAAAATGGCTTGAAGACAACCCCGAATCATCCAATAATGACGACCCTGTAGTTTTCGACACCTCTATCATTCCATGGTGGGCTTGGATGAAGAGGTTCCATCTCCCTGAGGCTGAACTACTCAATGGCATGTTCCTGATCTCTTAAGAAATGCACTATATGGATTCCGTCTGCTTATGCTAAACAAGCTCATTCATTCATTGCTAATCCTTTGTGCAGGTCGGGCAGCAATGATAGGATTCTTTATGGCTTATTTGGTGGATAGCTTGACCGGAGTCGGTCTTGTTGACCAAATGGGAAACTTCTTTTGTAAGACGCTCTTGTTCGTAGCTGTAGTAGGAGTTCTGGTAATAAGAAAGAATGAGGACATCGAGACCATAAAGAAGCTTATTGAGGAATCGACCTTCTATGACAAGCAATGGCAAGCGTCATGGCAGGATGATAACTCTGGCAGTTCAAAGAATGGCTAGTGAAAAATCCATGGTTGTTACCAAAAGAGAGCGTTTCAAGATCACTCAGCATTTTTGCAGTAGAATGTTTTTACCTTCTGTTGCGTGTTTGAATATGTTGCAGTATAACATTGTGAACTGATAAAAGTTTTCAGGGGATGAAAGTGTGACAAGCTTTAGTTGCAACTTCTAGTTTTTTTTTTGACAGCTGTTTTTAAATCACAAACACCATGACCAAATAGCATATCCTTTTCCTCGTGGTAAAAACTGTCTTGTATAGATTGCTCAGTCTTGCATCTATTGATCATCGACTTCATTTACAATTCGACAAGTTTGGTCTGCTGCAGAAGGCATCAAGCATCTACGGCAGGTAGCACTACTATGAATCGGAGCAGAAGAATGATGACCTGTGAAATGAAGTGAGGATTATTCGAGAGAACCAACGACCATGTATAAGCCTATTAAAGACGTCCGAGCCCGTGATTGTCTTATGACCACAAAGGTACCCTACACAACGCAATTTCCGTGATTGTGTCTTATGACCACAAAGGTACCCTACACAACGCAATTTCCGGGGAACATAACAATAGGGATACTATGGTTGGTTGCGAGAATTACTTGGGTTACGATGAGCAGTTCCGTAGTGCAAAATGAGGGAAATAAGATAACCAAAAGGGACAAGGTAGAATGCTGAAACACTCAGGAGACTGATACTCACAAAAGAACTTATAGACTTGAATAGGAATGTTAAACATAAGATACCTGACAAGGAACTATCTGAAGCAAAGACACAAGCCGTACCAAAAACAATCCGTGTGAAATTCTCCCTCCCTCCCTGTATGAGCATGCAAAAGTATGTTTGAAGGGGAAGGAAATAGAAAATTTGTCCTTTTAGAAATCTCCATCACTCTCTTAAACGCAGAAGAAACAACCAGGCTTGAATCAATTGTTACTACATAAAGAATGTTGGCCTTTTGGCCATTTCTTCCATCCTTTACATTGCCAATATTCCTGGAATGGTGTACATGACTCAACTCTCCTCTTTTAACCCAAAGTACGCGGGATATCAAATCGAATTACAACAAAATCTCGACAACGAATTTGGGTTGTCTAATTTGCAAAACTCCATGCATTACATTGAACCAGAACTGGCACTAGTCCAGAACCTTCGTGCACTGTGGGAGACATCACACACACATACATTCGTTGGAGCTATTTAGATCTCTGCTGTCTAGTGTACTCCCAAAGGGCGATGGCACCACTGACGTGAACATTAAGCGATCTAACGACTCCCAACTGGGGAATTTCAATGCAAGCGTCCAGAATATGAATAATATCCACTGGTATGCCCTCTTTTTCACGTCCAAGGACAAGGACCTGGAAATAATCAAATAAGCATTCCGAAACTGAAAATCTCTTTACAGAACATAAACTGGCTTAACAGTGCAAAAGGTAAAAAAAAAAAGAAAAAAAAAATCTTCATTTCACTGAGAAAAAAGACTTCATCTATCTTCTACAAGTGACAATATCAAATCTTTGTTCCCTTCATTTCTTATTTTTTTTCCCTTCCTGAGAAGTTTCTTCAGTATGCAATGTGACAGGATTTAAAGAGAGATATAGTTTCGTGACTTCTAATAAAAAAGATTCAATGGCTTTCTCCTTCCTTTGTATAGCTTCTTAGTTTCTTAGAAAATTTTAAGTGAATCCCTCAGTTTCAACTTACCGTGTTTGTGGGGAAAGCATACTGATCGAGAGGGACACTATTTGCCGTTTGTTCTAGTCCCAAGATGGAGAAGCCTTCTCGCTTTTTCTTGTCCAAGAAACCTGTCAAACTTCTTACAGGGACTTCTATGGTAGGTACCCACTTCTCTGCAGTGACACTGAAAAGAAAAGACAATGATCACATAGTGAAAAGGATTTACAGAAAACATTTTTACAGATGCTCCAAAAGCGTGTACATCAAGCTTGTATATAACTGTGTCAAGCACCAAAATCCAAATCACAGTTTAGACCATGGTCACATAAGTCTCTTGGACTTTTATCTCAGGACTACCTTCCATGGATGGAAAAAGGACAGGTTCATTTAACTCTTCATGGCACAGTGACATTCCAATTTTGATATGACTATTGAGGCTTCCTATGCATGATGACCCCTTTCTCTTATGCTCTATGGGCACATAAAGGCAAAGGTAGCACTGCACTAGGACTAGTGATGTACAAAAGACTTAAGTCGGAACTAGATAAGTTGGGGAGCACATAGTATATATAGCATTATTTATAAGCATCTTTCGGGGAAAATACGAACCCATTTCTGATTCAGTGCAGAGCTTTTTTTCTTCTGCCAAAAGTTCTATCAAAAAATTTTATTTTTTTTGGTCAGAAAAGTTCTATCAATTTGAGTAGCATAACACGTACTAAAAGGTGAGGGGTGGAGGACAATAAGAAGATTAACACTGATCAAAAGCCACATTGCAAACTACGCTTATTAAAGGACCAGTTAAACATGCTACAGCTTGGAGATCCTAGAGGTCTGACAATGTACAAGCACATTGAGCTAATACTCAGTGTAAAGCTCAACAATGAAAAGAAAATGGGACAGATTTGATTATATTTAGTGAACATAAATGCTCTCTTATTAATGGGTCAAGTGTAAACTAGGAATGCTGGTTTTCCATAATGCATTGTGAGTGTTTATCTAGGTTTTTGTCCAAATTGGACCCAGTGCTCTTTAAAATGTGTCACCGGTAGTGCTTCGGTTAAATTTGGCTGTCAGAGTGCTGAGTTGGCAGCAAGAAAGTTAAGGTGGCAATCTGAGGACACATGTAACATTATTATTGGTATCGGTACCTTTGTTGCTGATGTGGTCATGAAAACAAGAAGAAAATTAAAAAAAGTTTGTGTTACAAAAATAAAAGAGTAAAAAAAAGTAGACAGTTGCTGGACCCCGCCGCCACGATGGACCACTAGGGTCCTGCCCACTCAGACGACCAACACCATCGTGGTCACGTGTCGTGGTGGTGGTCGTGTCTATCGTGGTGGTGGTCGCGTCTATCGTGGTGGTCGATTGAGACCACTGTGACAGAGAAAGAGCTAATCGATCTCATTGCCGAGGCGGCCACCAGCAATGGTGGTGTCAAATCTGAGGCTGGAGGAAGACGTAGAAAACAAAGGGCAGAGCTCAAAATATGGCACCACCACTGTGATGGTGCTCAGGCAACTCCATCACGGTGGTGGCAGGTGACGCCAATGGCAGCAGCGCTGTTGGCGTCAGCAAGGACACAGCGCCTGTTCCTTAATATTTTTGTGGGCAAGGTTAGAGAGAGTGAGAGAGGGAGAATTTTGCAAAATGCAGAAATATTAGAAAACCATAAAAACCAGGTCAGCTTTTTTTTCCCTATAAAAAGTCTATGTTAGCAATTTTAACAGCATTAATGCATATCAGCAAAATATGCCGCCGGAAAGGTGCAAGGACGAACAGTAGCAAATTCTAGAAAGTACAGAGACCATTCTGAAACCAAAAAAGTAGAGGGATGGTTTTGAACTTTCGGCAAAAGTGGAGGACGGCTAGTGCCATTTCACTTTTGTCTAATAATCAAAAGGCGTTAAGAAACAATCAAACGTGACTTAAAATTCTACCACGCGGAATTGTGATATAGATAGTAGCAAACTACAGTCAAAACCTGATGAGTTGGAACTGCTTATCACGTATGATATTAGCATCTGCAATGGCCAATCCAGAAGCCTTAAACACCTGAACAAAAAAATTTATCAAATAAGGAGAAATTAACTTCTGCAAAATGACCCTTACCAAAAAAAAACTTCTCCAAAATGACCACAACATATGAAATGCTCTGTATTCAATATAATGAAGATATTATATCACCGGCATGTATAACTAACCTCACATGTCCGTGCCAACCCAGCAAGATTTGGTATGCGATCAAGCAAAGATGCTACAAGGATGATATTTTGTCTGCTAGCTCTGATTTTGTCCATGGTCTCAATGCGTGTGCGGAACATATGATTGACAAGGTGATCCTCTTGCTCCATTTCTGCTGGATACGGAACAAGTTACTGAAGTTCCAATAATCGATAGACGAAATGGAACCATACAATCCACAGCAAAAGTTGACATGTTTTGTCAGCAAGGCAACAAACAGACTCACATAATAATGATGCTGGTTAGAAGAAAAGTAACATCATAAGTGTCACTTTCAAGTGGAAGTAACTGAAGGTCCCACAATTTTCCAATTGGTACTTTTCATCGCATTCTTTTTGGGATGGTCCATTGAGAAGAGGGATTATAGAATGGAAACTCAGGTTCAAAGGAACAGGGACACAAAAAAGACACAGTATAGGACAATAACAAAAGATATGAAGTCCTTTGCTCTTTTAGAAGACTTGATGCATATTAAGCATGACGACGTTGTTAGAAATTTCGAGCCAAAAGTTTAACCTATATGATGGAGGGCAGTAATATGAATATAAGACACAGAAAATTGCATCAGTGAGTAAAATGGGATACTTTAACACCCCTTCTCAAGTACAAATGAACCAAGAAACTTTAGGACTCCATGTTCAAATGCAGGATAATTTGCCAAAGAGCAATATCTTAAATATTACCAACATCTTGATACTGTTGCATTATGACAAGAGTTTAAGTATCAGCCCTTTACATCGAGACTTTACCTGAAAGAAGTTTGTTCATCTCATCAAGGCCCAAGAACGAGCTCACTAAAGGGTCTCCTTTCTCATGTTTGGCAAGCGTAAATTTTTTCTGGAAGTTCGTCAAAACATCTCCAGGTGGCTGGCCAAGAAAAAGTTCATTGTTGGTGCTAGATGAAACTTCCTGATGGTTGCTATCTTCATCAATACGTAAGCTCTCGTTTTTTATGGCAACCAAATCTTTTGCCATGGAACATCTCAGATCTCCCCGGACGTCCTGCATATATATATATCATGACTAGAGTTGCCGGACGGGACACAGGTAAAGCAGTATCCTGATTTTCCTTTTAGAAAAGCTAAAATAGGCACGTACATTTAAAAAACCGAGCACTTGCTCCATGAGGGACGTAGGAACACATTCAAATTCGAGTTCCTGCAACAATCATAACTATATCAATAAACAAAGCAATAAACCTTAACTTTTCGTAAAATCACTTATGGCTTACAGTTAAACACGTGCC